GGCGAACGGTTCTTCTGGTGTAACATGAGCATTGGCTTACTTTTGACATTTACTCGTGAAGCAATTCTACACATGAAGCAGTAAATTAAAAGGCCTGATATCAACAAAAGTTCACATCGTGAAAGAAAAATAGTAAAATAGTAAAAGAGTTTAAAGTTTTAAATTTTAGAAAGAATTATTGCACTTGATGAAGAAATATAAATCAACATAATTTTACAGCTTTATATATACATATATATACATATATATATATATATATATATCTTTTGTATAACTTTCTAGGTATATATATAATGTGACATTTTATTATAATGCCGCTATCCGTGGAGCACCCTAAGTTGGCTGACGTCATTGACTACGGGACATTGAAACTTCAAGTATCATCTCAAAAAGATAACTCTTGCTGAGGAAGACACTTGCGGACTATATTTAGAAAGAAAGGAGACAGCAGTGCATATATTGTGCCAATACTGCACTGGCAATCAGAACGAAGACTGTCTTAGGACACCATTGGGTTGGTGATGACTTGGCAGGCAACCTCAAGCTAAATGAGCTGCTTGCATTAACAAGCGACGTAGATATGCGAACGGAAGCCACTTTCGCTCTAACTCAATAACGACTTACGAGAATCGAAGGACGGAAAAGAACCCAAGTCGTTTCGTGGTCTATTTCGGCTAATCCTTCACTTCTGTGGGGATACTGGGATATATTACATTTTATTAATATTGTAAATTAGCTTACACAAATTTAAGTTATAGATATTTTTAGGTGTCAATCCGTATTCACATGGCTCTTTTTCTTCTTATGCATATTGTCAGTGTTACTTTTTGGATAATAAATAGATAAAAAACAAATCTGCAAACTGAGAGGAACTGGCTTCCGTTCGCATATCTACGTCGCTTGTTAATGCAAGCAGCTCATTTAGCTTGAGGTTGCCTGCCAAGTCATCACCAACCCAATGGTGTCCTAAGACAGTCTTCGTTCTGATTGCCAGTGCAGTATTGGCACAATATATGCACTGCTGTCTCCTTTCTTTCTAAATATAGTCCGCAAGTGTCTTCCTCAGCAAGAGTTATCTTTTAGCTCACTTGATCTATTTCTTAGGAATGAAATGTGAAAAATTTTAACTACGACTCATCATGTGATTCAACCATAACACATGTAGGTTTCCATATCTTCTTTACCACATGAGATAAAATTTCTCTAACACACTGATCACATCAATTTAAATAGAGTGTGTGTTAAAGCACATTTTTCTGAGTGTAGTCAATAAACAAAATTTTATTCCAGTAATTAGAATCTGCTCCTAATAGGCTTAATATCTAGTAAATTAAATATCTTGAACTGTGGTAAGTACACAACGAACAATGGGTCGACAAATTAGAGAAGAGTTAGATACAAGCAAAAACAACCTTTATGAGAGAATTTTCGGGTTAAGTAGAAGGGAGAGAAACTGCGAAGGTTTGTGCAATTAAGTAGAAGTAGTAGAAATTAGTAGCTTGTGGGTTAAGTAGAAGGGACAGAAACTGCGAAGGTTTGTGAAATAACTTAAAAAAGCGATTGTTGAAAATTTAATCTACAAAGAGATCGTCAGATGATATATTCAGATAAAGTGATATAAAGATATATAAAGATATAAGAATTTCTTGAGAAGTACACTAACGAGTTCTAGAATTCTTTCTAAAAGTAATGTGCCTGTATTAAATGTATTTACAAAGAATTCTTTTCCCAAATCAATTGATTTTTTCCTATTTTCCTAGAATAAAGATGATTGTGGACCATATTTTAAAACCGTAGATTAGAATAATTTATAGCAATTTAATTTGTTTAGAAAAAAAATAATTCCAAAGTAAATGATCTTGTTAACAAAAGGCCGTGTCATACAAACATTCATATGATGAATGACCAATAGGCGTGTTATATAGAGAGTCAATTTCGCCAGTATTGTCAATTCCGAACTTTTACTACTATTTCTAAACTTTTTGATTGCGCCTAAATTTAAAAGGAAATATAGGCACACTAGTAATATATTAAAGATATAAACAAATTAAAATATCGGATTCACTCAGCAATAGAGAAGGTCATTGGAGGAATTGTAACAAAATTGTATTCTTACATTTGCATTATTATATGTGAAGCTCTGCTTGGAGAAATATTTGTTGTTTGAATGTATCGCAGTTCGCTTGTAGTTGTAATAACGGTTGATGTCCTTGGCGTTTCAATTTTTCTGCATTTATTTCAAGAAGTGCAAGAAATCTGCAGTAACAACAAGTAGTAGAATAACAAAAAGTGGATGACAATCACTTTTCCATTTGAACAACGTACCTTTTTATTTACTTTACCCGAACATCACGTTTTCAGTTTCCTTTCGTAAGCACTTTTTTGTGAATTTGATGCCAGCAACCATGAGTCCTTTTCTTTGTTATGTACTTTACTACTTCAAATATTTGTTGAAATTTTTTTGTTTTTGTATTACTAGTTCTATTTGTTGTTGTTGTTGTTGTTGTTGTTGCTCTACTTTTTGTAAAGGTACTTTGCGCTGACTACGGCGTACAATGTCGCTACATTTCGCATGGCGGTAAACCATTAACTGACTTTCCCGTGTTCGAAAGTTTGTATGAAATCCATTTTTTTCTCTGTTACGAGAACATTAGTTTTAATCCAAATACAACAAACAAATGTAAAATGTAAGTTGTAAAATTTAATGTAAATTTTACTTCTAAAAGGATTTTTCAATTATAAGATGTAGTGAAAGCGCTGGGATTAGATTTAGATTTAAGCTCTTTGTTTATTTGCGTTACTTTGAACTATAATATAGTTTCTTTTGAATATGTAGCTTAAGGGCCGATTGGTAGTGCAGAATATCTACCATGATTTACCAGAATTCTGTTATTTTCTATTCTATCGTAATTATAATGGCACCGATTTAACATATTTTTCAAAATGCTTTTGCGCTTTAATGAATTTTTCGTTTGGAAGATAATGTTATATGGGTTCCTAAGGGGTAATGCTACTGTGTTTTAATGAATTTTTCATTTGGAACATAAGCACATTAGGATTTCAAAGAGGTACTTGAGCTCTAAAGCTATATGTGAAAACCGACTGGTTGCCCTACTTAGCACTATCTATTCTCAGAGTAATCACTAACCATACGGTGCGGTACGCAGATCTTAGATCAGTCGTTGAATAATCACGAAGCTTATGAGAAATACATAAATTAGTCAGTAAAATGGGTGGAACTCTGCACACATCTCACAGCTATTAAAGAGTAAAAATGCCCAGATGCACTAATTCGGAAAAGGCTCAACTCAGAAATTAGACTAATAAGTTTACTCAAATTGATTAGCTTTAGGGTGTGTAACCAACCGTAGGAAATTGATTAGTTAAATTTAGAAGTTATATTTTTTATTGAAAGGAAGAGTCTGCGATTAAAGTTCTAATTATAACTATAGTATCACTATATTTTCTATAATTGAAATTATTTTATGAATTCGCTTGGACCGGAAATATTAGTTCTTTGTTTATCTATAACTTATATTTATGTGGAGTATGTGGAGTATTCCAAAAGTTTTTACTTTACATTGAAAGGAAGATGTTTGTTTTTTCTTTGCTATTTGAATAATGATATAATGTTTTAATTAATCAACCACATTCTCTTGACTTTACAAAAACAGTAATTATGACATTTCCATCTGATAGCACTTTCTTTCTATTCATCGAAGCTCTTTCATCTTTTCTAATCCATTAAATTTTTTGTTCTTCTCAGCGTTGTGATGGATTCGCATTTTAGACACTGTTTCTGAAAATGTATACAAATGCCAGTTTATTTTGCTTAAAGCACGTCTAATGAGTGTTAGAAATGTTAAAGCTGTTGAGTTTTCGGTTCTAACCTAGCGAAACATGTGAAATTCTCCATTTTTCGCAAGCTCTCAAAAAATTATTTGAACATCACACAATATTGGGCGATACAACATTGTTTGAAGTCAATCAGAGTCCCAACAAACTAAAATTACCGAAAACCTAATTTGCAACAAAATATTACAAAATATTATTTCAATACAAAATTTAAATCATGGTTATAAACTTGTACTTGAAATGGACCAGGAAAAAGAATTAAAATAATTAAAAAAAAGGCAGTTGATATTTTCTGAATTACATTCTAAATCATTATTTGTAAATAAAAAAAGATTCGATTTGAAGCATGTACAGATGTTAAATTTTTCGAATACCCTACACACTCGAAAAAAGTTGAAGTTTGTTACTCGTATAATATTAATTAGGTAAATTTAGTAGTCCAATTACTGTATAACTCTATCACTTACATAAGTGTTAATACACAGTACTTGCATTTTTTTTTTGTTTTTCATATATTTTATTCAAAATTAGTATATGTTTTGTTTATATTTAAAAACTGAACAAAATTACATGAAAATGTTATAATAATTGCTGTTGAAAAAAGTAAAAGTTGCGTTTGCTGTCGCAAAATTAAGTAATGCCAAAGTAATTTGCACCAATTTTTTTTAATATCCACACAAACATTAAAATCTAGATAAAAATTGTAGTGCTAAGTTCGTCTAGATTGTTGACGGTAGTCATCGTACTCACGTATCCATTAGATATACGTATGAAGTCTATCTAATATTTCACACTTTGCATGTTTCAATATAATAAAAATTTCATTTATTTATATTGCATTTAGTAGAGCGGATGTCAACGAGTCGCTTAATATTCGGTGTAATATGAACAGAAAAAGATACAGATATGACATTATTTTAACACTGTGTATTTGTTCAGAGTGTAGTGTGTGGTGTGTGGTGTGAATGCATTTTATATGCCCTTTATGGAATTGACATTAGTGCGGGGATATATGGGAAAACGGCTAGTGTGTTTAATTATGCAATAAAAGACCTAGTTGAGCATTTTACTCGTATTTTGCTGCAAGATTTTTATTTCTCTATTAACATATTTATTTATATTTATTTTTTTTAGGCAACAACAATATCAACAATAACATATATTTTAAAAGGAATTAGTAAAGAATACAGCGCAAGAACTGCATAGTTGCTAGATTTGTGGAGTAAAAAGTTTAAGGACTTAAAAAGCATTGCAAACACAAAGGATACCAAAGAACGGATAAAGTAGAAAACAAGTGCTTAAATAATTTCGATCTGAAGTGTAAATAAAATCAAAATAAGTAAAAACAAAGAAACAACAAATAAGAAAAAGACAATAATTGTAAAGAAGAGAAAAAGTTAAGTGGTGATTGACAACATACCATAAAGAAAAGACGTTCAACAGAAGAGTTACGAAAGAGTTACGATAGGCTATGCAAATGCTGCATTCCGGAAATGTAGTGGAATCCGGTGCAGTTTATTACAACTGAAGGCATATTGCATATAGCAAAAAGCAGTGTATCAGTGTATGCATGTAAGGGGAACACATGATAATGCACTGGAGTTATTTGCTTCAAGCAAGGATAATTTCAAATCAAAAACAATAACATACTAAGGCAACACGTACGAATAACTGCAAATGACATGTAGCATTACTGCACCAAATACTGCAAGAGATTTAGAAACAAGTAGAAAAAATAAACTTAGAAACATACGTACGTTTATTTATATAATATATATTGAGCAACTTGTAGATACGTCTTAAGACTGCACTTGTGAGATACTCAGTAGGTAAATGCTTGTGTAATTGCTTTCGTTAGCCCTGTGTGTGTATATAATCACAGAGCCACAGAGAAGATATCCGTGCAAACATTTTATCCCAACAAAAATACATCGGTTAACAAATTGCGTAGCTATTTCGAGTCAGTTTTAAGCAGTGCGCGAAACTACGCGGTAAAGTGCATTATTGAATTCCATAAACTGCGAAATTTTAGTGAGCTATAAAAATATTACTAACATCTTAGAAAACAAATCCAGAACTCAAAAGAAGCATCAACTCTCCATTGGTTCATATCGGCAAAAAACACAATCAGGATTTTTTCTACTCCATTAAATATTCTTCTTTGTATCGACCACATAGCTGACTTAGGTTGCCCTACTTTTATTGTTTGCTGCAAGTGTGACGTCATTGGAAACAATATTAAGTTTTATTCAAAATCTCGTTTACGTTCGGTTTGATTTGTTAGCATGGCACGCGGGTCACATAATTCGGTTTTATCCGGGCTAAGTAATGACATTGCTCGCATAAGTTTGGTTGTTTTTGTTTTACTATTACGGTTGTCTTCGGTATTTGGCGTTTCAGATCGTTTGGTTGTACAAACAACAAGCGGTCCTGTACGCGGTCGTTCGATAACAGTACAAGGACGCGAGGTGCATGTTTACTCTGGCATACCTTATGCAAAACCACCAGTAGATGATTTACGTTTTCGCAAGCCGGTGCCCGCTGAGCCATGGCATGGGGTTTTAGATGCTACACGTTTACCGGCAACCTGTGTACAAGAAAGGTAAATATTCAAAATTATATGTTTTGCTCTTTCATTCCATATATTCTACTAAAACACATACCATATACATACATACCAAATAATTCAAACTAGTTGAAAATGAAAATTTGCGATGATGTATTGTATGTCTCTGCCAAAACAAATTCCATAGTGCGGTGTTCCATTTTCCCGAAATCATATCATTTTGTATTTTCGGTTGTGAATTCTTTTTACATGTAACCTAGAAAAGTTATTTCGCAGCTGTGCCTGAGTAATTTTGTTTGTCTTAGTTCGTGCAATGACGTCATTGCTACATGCTTCGTTAGTAAGTATGTCAAGATTTTGCATTCTATATACTGGTACATCAATTTCATTATTTAAATGGGGACAATTTAGAATTTATTTAGATATATATTATGTTATGTTTAACTTTGCGACAATTGTTATTATTTTAAAGTTATTTTTTTAATGATTAATTTAATCGAACAAATTAAGATATAAAAAAAGGGGCGAAAGGATCATACAATATAACTGATTCGGGTAAATAATTATTTTCTTCCGATATAAATTTTTTAAACCTCAAAAGTAATATTAAAGCGTGTGTATTTTAAATTAAAGTTTATGTATTGATTAACATAGAACTATGCAAGGAAGTAAAATCTTTTCAAAAATTATGGTTACGAATTGGCTTTATTTATTAAACAAAGTATGTAAGGTATACATAAATAAAACCTTTGCATTTGGCAATACTAAAAACAGCTGTATGGTTAGCCAAAAATTCAGTTATTTAAAATAAAATAAAATTTTTTGTTGTTGTAGTTCACTACTTTTCGAAACCTCTCTACCATACATGCTACTTTCTATTAAATATAGTCACTTCTATCACAACTGACGTTAAATTACAACTTATATTGTGAATAAAACATGTAATTTCTATATACGAGTATTAAAAGTAAAAGCTGGAAAGATTCTTCTCCAAAGTTTGAAATGCTCGAAAAAACCACATAAAATGATAACTATCATATGTTCATTTAGTTCTTACAAAATCTTACAGACTGCACTTAGAATTTGAAATTTACATATGGATGCTTCTGTAAATTGTGAAAGCGTTAGACAAACTTTATTTATTAGTGAAATTGATAAATTGGACATTGATTCATTATTACGAGTGTTTCTTAATATAATTGCCTCTGAGCTTTACATATTTTCTTCAACCATTTTTTGGAATCATTCTAGTTTTTTGTTAACAATTTACTCTCCTTTCAAATAACGTTTTACGTTTGGAAACAAAAAGAATAAACCTGGCAAATATACGGAATATACGAGTACCCATATATTCTCTTGATAGATGATTATTTTTTCTTTCTAACTGAAGACGTTTTTGTTTAAAACTGTTGTTAAAAGTCGTGATAAAAGCCATTTATAGTTTGGCAACGGACGATATCATTATTCTAGTTAAATTGAAATTTTCAACTGTGTGGTATACCGGAACACTGTTTGATCATCTGTCTTAATAAATGGCTCTAGGATGTGCTGCATGATGTCAATGAAATATTAGGGATTTTTTCAATCTCAATTAGAGGTTTTAAATGAGTTGCAAATGAAATATTTCTAAAATATAGTTTTCGAAATAAACTTTTTTTTGCAAGTATATCTTAGTACCTATATTTAAAGACAATTTTTAAAGTAAAGTATGACGAACGACAACTTTTTTTTTAATAAAAGGGTTTTTGAATTGAAGTTTTTCGAGTATTATTAAATACTCGGCATCACTGGTCTTTGCAAATATTCGTATATAAATCCATAAACAATTGTTGGGTTATACAAACTTTGAATCTGTCAAATTAAATGCAATGACTTTGCGTGTTTAAACCAAAGAAGCCAACACTATACACAATTTTCGTTGTTCAAATATTAAATTTTTTGTTAATTTTTTCTGATTTCTCAGAAAAAATTTCATCTTAACATCCCTTTGATTCAGAAAATACCAAACATTATCGTCTAATTTGAATTTTGTCACTTTGTGTACTGGAGCATATGTGTTATAAAGATTGTCCTTAGCCGCCTTCCTATTTTTGATCTTTGTCATTTTAGCGTCATAATTGCGGAACTGAATTTTGTTTTTTAATTTTACTGTAATATTACTTTAATAATATTACTAAAAAAATATAAAAAAACTTTGCTATTGGGTAATATATAAATATTAAAATATAACCGAAACTATTTGTCTTCAAACATTTATAACGCTTAAAAGTATGTAATAACTCTCATTTGGTAATAGCAAGTCGACTTCCGTTGGAAGACAAATATCACTAGAGCTTTGAGTTATATCAATAAAATATTACCAGTCGTAATTTTGATGATACAATTTAACGGAAAAACAAAGTCATTTGTTTTAATAAAGTGAGACACAAAGTTAAACTGTTTACGCCTATTTGGCGGAACTATTTAAAACAAATTGGTACACACTCGTTAACAGTGTTACCACATTTAATTTAAATAAATTTCAAATAAAGCTTTCCGAACCCGCCTCCATCCACTTATTTGTCATGTGTGGCGTTTGCATAAATTTATTTTAGAATTAATTTGAAATATCTTCTCAAACCATTTATTTTTTAACGTCCAAAATGAATTTTAAGCTTCATTTTAATTAAGTTTTGTGATTTAATACAAATTATGAAAAGTTTGGTTTATTAAAAAGATAATTAATTTTAGCTATTTATTTATATATTTAATTAAAATAATTTGATCTAATGACGAATAATGATGATGAATAATGAATGGAAAGAGGATTAAACATTTTGTACCTTAATTAAATAGAACCTAATATGGAATCCTCACCTCAGTGAACAAAAAGTCTATATCTAAGTCTAATTTTAATTTAATTGCAATTCTAATTAACTTTATACATTTGAATTCAATTGTGATTATGTTGAGACTTGTTGAGTCAGTGTACTTGAGCACTTTTACTCTGAATTAACTGTAAAGGTTTCTTCATAACCCATCTCTACTTCTTGACTGGAGTATTGTTTATCACCTCATCAGACTAAGCAATAACTGACTTCAGATCTGCATACCCCCCTGAAGAGCCTATAACCATTCTGAGCTGTGATAACGCGGTGTTGGTAAGTCTGTCAGATTTCGCAAATATTTTCAGGGTTCTATCCTTTGTGTTTTTTGATCGGATCAATCTTGACATCATCGAACCTGATGATGTCATTCGTCCTAATGTACCATGGTACTTTGAAAAGTCTTCTCAGAGCCTGTGCAATTTCTAGCATAAATCTATTCTATTAAATTGGATGTAATAAACTACTTAATAAACATAATAATATTATTTTAACTCGCCGATCTTAGTATTTTGAAGTTTTATGTTATTGAATATTATTTAAAACTATATTGATGTCATTTCAGATATGAATACTTTCCTGGATTTTCTGGTGAAGAAATATGGAATCCTAATACAAACGTTTCTGAAGATTGTTTGTATATAAATATTTGGGCACCGGCAAAGGCACGATTAAGACATGGCCGCGGTGCAAATGGTGCGGAGGTATGTAACATATATTATAGCGTTTATATTAATAATAATTGATATCACCATATTTTTATTATTTTTATTTTTTAAATATATAGAAAGATATGTACATATTTAATTTTGATTAAAAAATATACACAATTAAAAAATTTGTATTTATTTATAAATAATTCTATTTATTATTGTTCTTTATGAAATATATTCAGCATGCTGGAAAATCAGAAACAGATCACTTAATACACAATGGTAATCCGCAAAATACCTCTAATGGACTGCCAATTTTAATTTGGATTTATGGTGGTGGTTTTATGACTGGTTCTGCAACGCTTGATATATATAATGCTGATATTATGTCCGCTGTTGGGAATGTTATTGTTGCATCTTTTCAATATAGAGTTGGAGCATTCGGATTTTTGCACTTATCTCCGGTTATGCCAGGATTTGAAGAAGAAGCACCTGGTAATGTTGGATTATGGGATCAAGCACTGGCTATACGTTGGTTGAAAGAAAATGCTAAAGCATTTGGCGGGAATCCAGAATGGATGACATTGTTTGGTGAATCAGCGGGTTCAAGTTCAGTAAATGCTCAACTTATGTCACCTGTTACGAAGGGCTTAGTCAAACGAGGAATGATGCAATCAGGTACTATGAATGCACCATGGAGTCATATGACATCTGAAAAAGCTGTGGAAATTGGAAAAGCACTTATAAATGACTGCAATTGCAATGCTTCATTATTAGCGGTAATTTAGTTTTATTTAATTATCACATTATATGCTAAATAAGTTATTTTATATCGATTATATTCCTGTATTTGTGTAATAGGAAAATCCTCAAGCTGTTATGGCTTGCATGCGTGCCGTTGATGCAAAAACAATTTCTGTTCAGCAATGGAATTCATATTCGGGCATTTTAAGCTTTCCATCGGGGCCAACTATTGATGGAGCCTTTTTACCAAGTGATCCAATGACTTTATTACAAACAGCTGATTTGACTGGTTATGATATACTAATGGGCAATGTTCGTGATGAAGGTAAGTTATGTTCATTCATAGAACATATTTATTTTAAACTTTTCTTTTGAAAGATAATAGATTTTTATGATTTACAAAAAATTTATAAAGTGATAAAATATTTTTAATTACTCAAAGATTAGAATCCATTTTCTGATTATTTGTCATTCACTACAAAAACTATTTATTAAAAATATGACAAACTTTTGCATCCTTGAAAAATTGTTCGCTTAGATATTGCTGGAGCACTGCAATCAAAATGTATATTTTTGAAGATTTTTTTTTTGTTTTGAACATATTGTTCCATAATGTAAATTTTTTACTCAGCTATTGTTACAACTTCTCTGACGTCAGCAATGCTCTACATACGAATCCAATTCAAAAAGCAATTTTTTATTTGCAATTTTTCATAATTTTTTCGTTATATTGCGAATGGATTTTTATGCTCCATTTTTATGTTTGAGTGCTTAATTTCTGAAATTTATTACACAACACATCCCCGGGAGCATCCATAAATGTTGTCATTTACGAGTATGAAAATTGCATTTTTCGTTGCGATTTTCTTTCAGAATTTGGCGCTGCTTGCATTTACTGCTCTTGCAGATACAATAGAATGGGTGTGTTTTATGTTGCACTGTCATGCGATTTAATATAGAAATATAAAAAAAATCTATAAATATTTAATGAAACTAAATATATCTGCAATTAATGTTTAAATTTTTAAACTCAGTTATTAAATAGGAGTCATTGCTGTTTTGAAGCCATAAACTAAGATTAAATTTTATTTAATGTGCACTTGTGATATTTTGAGCATAGAAACTATAAACTATTATAATATTAAACATTTTTAAAAAATTAAATAGAAGACCAATGTTTGTAATAGGAAATTTTAATGTCCTAGTGATTGTGAAACCATCCTGTTAAATTCGTATTTGGGTAATGCAATTTCAATATTTCAATATGTTATTTTCTTAGAGTTATATTCGTTTTAAATAGATTCCTCCTATTGATGATTGTAATTTTTTATTATTCACTTTTGAGAGATGGTTGTAAGTCTATAAGTCTCATACGACTTAAGTATTTAACTTTTTGGCAGTGTTTACTGAAATTTGGAATTGTCAGTATTATATATTCTTATTATTTATAGTTTTTTGACCTTTCTTAAATAGTGAAGCAAGAATTGTATATTATTGTCGAGATGTAAGAGTGGATATACTATGTATTGCTGATTCTAACAGGCATATTTAATTAACAGAGAGACGCAATAATGTGTATTTTTATTATTATATTCTAGTTTTTTTCGCTTTTCTTTAATTTTTTTCATTTATTGTATATAACAACTAGTATAGAACAAAGTCATTCTCAATGAATTTAGTACAGGTGTACGAAAGTTTTTTATTCTCATCGGGTATGTCAAAATGTTAGTAAAAGAGTAATGCAGATATTAAGTACTATATAATAAATATGACCTCACTTAATTGTAGGAGATGATATGATTGAAATCATCTCGATGGCATTATTTTCAGAAGTATTTTAAAAAATTGAATTATGCTATATTTCACTTATACGTACTTAATTTCAGTTAAATAAAATTTTAAAAAAAATATGTCACAAAGTTTTTATTTCTGATTTGAATTTATTATTAAATTTTTTTTAAGAATTGAAATTTTTAAATTCATACTTGTTTTAAAATTATTTTTAAAAAATAATGTGACATGCATTTTACACATGGCGTATACGCATTAAATTTTAAATTATTTAAGTTCAAAAAAAAAAACATATACCAATTAAAATATTCATATTTTATTTTTAATTCTAATTATTTCTAAATAAGTAATTATTTAAATATATAATAATAAATTCCTGTATAAAAATGTGTTTTAAGGATAATACTATTTAAAGAGTATTTTACTCCTTAAATTATTTTAATGTATTAAATTTTATTAAAATAATTTTTGGGAAATATACTATGAAAAATATTTACTTTTTATATATAACTTGGAATTAGCATTAAATTGTACTTAGAAATTTACATTTTATTGTTAAAAGTATTCTTAAAAATTAATTAAATGCTTGTCTTACATCTACACAGCGAAATCCTGACTATTATTTTTCTTTTTATTATATATTTTTACAAAATTCTTTAAAAATTAAATTGAAGTCTTATGTATTATTATTATTTTTATTATTATTATTATTATTAGAATTTTCTCGCAGACTCTATTGCATTAGTTCTAGAATATTAATGTTGTTATATTATAGCTGTTAAATAATTGCATAAATGTTAAGTAAATTTTGAAACTAGTTCAATATGGTTGGTTATTGTTAAATTGGTTATTTACTAAATTTATTACTAAATTATTATTATAATTGAAAAGAAGGGATATTTCACTACGACCTAAAAGATCTTTTGTGCCTCTTAGTCAAATTAGAGTGTTGCTCCAAGTCCGATTTCTTTAATGAATGACAGTATAGAGACTATCTTTCCAAGTTTTGGATCCTAATAATCCATAAAATACCCTCCTAAGTGTTTCTTCTGCTTGTGCATCAGAGCCGGACACTCTCTAAGCATATGATGTGCAGTTTCCTTCTCTTCTCTTCAGAAACTGCAGTCTGAGTTGGATTGAATTCCCAACTTTGATAGGTGATTATTCAATCTACTGTGACCGGTCAATAATTCCACAATAATTCTTAGGTTAACCTAAACCTAAGGTCTTATATATAATATATCCATAATATATCTTACATTATTAATTTAACAATTTTTCGAGGTAAGCATAAAATAGTTTATTTTGATTTTAATAATTTTATCGCATGTACGTTTCGTAAACTTTAATTAAAAATATTTTACAGCGCGAAAAGCGCAATCCTCTAAGCAGAAAGTCAATTTGTTTTGCGAATAAATTTTGAATTATGTTTTCCTTCTTTATTTACTTTGTGCTTATTTGTTAAAAAGTTGACATTAAGCACCAAGTAGAATAATCAAAAAGAATGAAAAAATAAAAGAAACGAAAATCTTTAACAGCAAATGTAAATAAAAACAAACAACCATAAAGGACAAAAAGGGAATAAAAA